GGATTATGTGTCTCAGAATACTCTTCTTTGGCATTGGTCAGCCATTATTTGATGAAGGCTGAGTTTGTCTGTGTCTTCAGGGATTTCTCTAAGTTATGTATTTGTAGGAGATCATCTCCATTTGTTCCATTAGCTGAAGCTTTCAGGTTGCTGCATCATTTGGCATGCTGTAGTTTTAAAATTTGAGTGTATCACTGGAGCCTTGTGATTCTTTCCCTGAGTCACATTGTTTGCACATGTGTGTGTGTGTGCACATGCGTGTGAACCTCCTCACCCCGCTCGCTGGCCGCTGGCTCTCTCCCACCCAGAGCACATGTGTGTGTGCGTGCACGCGCGTGTGAACCTCCTCACCCCGCTCGCTCTCTCCCACCCAGAGCACTGGGTGTGTGCACGCGCGTGTGAACCTTCTCACCCCGCTCGCTGGCCGCTGGCTCTCTCCCACCCAGAACACTGGGTGTGTGCACGCGCGTGTGAACCTCCTCACCCCGCTCGCTGGCCGCTGGCTCTCTCCCACCCAGAGCACTGGGTGTGTGCACGCGCGTGTGAACCTCCTCACCCCGCTCGCTGGCCACTGGCTCTCTCCCACCCAGAGCACATGTGTGTGTGCACGTGCGTGTGAACCTCCTCACCCTGCTCGCTGGCCGCTGGCTCTCTCCCACCCAGAGCACTGGGTGTGTGCATGCGCGTGTGTGAACCTCCTCACCCTGCTCGCTGGCCGCTGGCTCTCTCCCACCCAGAGCACTGGGTGTGTGCACGCGCGTGTGTGAACCTCCTCACCCCGCTCGCTGGCCACTGGCTCTCTCCCACCCAGAGCACTGGGTGTGTGCACACGCGTGTGAACCTCCTCACCCCGCTCGCTGGCCACTGGCTCTCTCCCACCCAGAGCACTGGGTGTGTGCGTGCGCGTGTGAACCTCCTCACCCTGCTCGCTGGCCGCTGGCTCTCTCCCACCCAGAGCACATGTGTGTGTGCATGCGCGTGTGAACCTCCTCACCCTGCTCGCTGGCCGCTGGCTCTCTCCCACCCAGAGCACATGTGTGTGTGCGTGCACGCGCATGTGAACCTCCTCACCCTGCTCGCTGGCTGCTGGCTCTCTCCCACCCAGAGCACTGGGTGTGTGCACGCACGTGTGTGAACCTCCTCTCCCTGCTGGCTGCTGGTTCTCTCCCACCCAGAGCACTGGGTTTGTGCACGCACGTGTGAACCTCCTCACCCCGCTCGCTCTCTCCCACCCAGAGCACTGGGTGTGTGCACGCACGTGTGAACCTCCTCACCCCGCTCGCTCTCTCCCACCCAGAGCACTGGGTGTGTGCACACGTGTGTGTGAACCTCACCCCGCTCGCTGGCTCTCTCCCACCCAGAACACTGGGTGTGTGCACGCACGTGTGAACCTCCTCACCCTGCTCGCTGGCCGCTGGCTCTCTCCCACCCAGAGCACTGGGTGTGTGCACACGCATGTGTGAACCTCCTCACCCTGCTCGCTGGCCGCTGGCTCTCCCCCACCCAGAGCACTGGGTAGGGCAGCAGTTCCCTTGGCCTCTCTGGGCAGCAGCGGGGCTTTGTGCAGCGGTGTGCCGAGGCCTCAGTCGGGGTCTGCCCAGCACACAGGAGCCCCATCCTGAGAGGCAGCTGAGCATCCGCCGTGAGTGGGGCCCCATCGTGGGGCCTGAACTCTGGGCCTGGGCGCTGTCCCTCAGCTCTTCAGCTCAAGGCTAGCGCTCTACCACTTGAGCCACAGTGCCACTGGCTTTTCTGCTTATGTGGTGCTGAGGAATCGAACCCAGGGCCTCTTGCATGCGAGGCAAGCGCTCGACCACTGAGCCACCTTCCCAGCCCTGTGCTCAAGGTTTCAAGTTTTTTCCCTTTTCTAAGCACACAGGATTTGCTGTGGTCTGACCTTGGGTATTGATTTGGGGAAAAACTGCCTTTTTGCTAGCATGCCAGTGTCCGTGGGGGAGGGACCCGAGGCTGCTGCGACCTGCATTCCCTGCGCCGTGCAGGGCCGCCTGGCATGCCAGTCCGTGGAAACCTCCCGTGTGTGCTCCGGATGGTGCTGTGCTGGGATCCTGGGTGCTCCAGGCACAGGAAAGGATGGACTGCCGAGACTCAGGTCCCATCTTCGGGGTCCCGTCCTCACCGGGGCCAGGGCGCTGCCCAGGGGACAGTCTGTGGGGTAGTGACCGTCCTGGCATCTCGGTTCCTGATCTGTGCTCCAGCAAAGGCTGGCGGTCTTGTTGCCAGAGGCCCTGGTACACTGCCCGTGGGCACAGCCCCCGCCACCGCCCTCAGTGGGCCTCCTCCCCAGCCGTGACCCTCCGTGCCTGCGGCACTGAGCGGGCTCAGGCTGGCAGTGCGGTCCTTGGATCACGGTGTTTCCCCACAGACAGCTCTGTTCTAGGACTCATAATCATCACCTGGAAGGGCGTTCTTGCTTGTGCATGTCTGCATGTATGTAAGGGCAAGCATGTGTGTGTGCGTGGTGCCCGTGGGGCGCCGGGCCCGAGGTGGTGTCTGGTCTCTGGCCGTCCATGAGGGCCGCCTGGACATCGGCAGCCCCCGAGTCCACCAGGAGCCCAGATGCTGAGTGCGAGGCCGGCCGCGGGCCGCACCTGGCAGCCCCTCAGGGAAGCACTGGCGTGGGCTGGCAGGACCTGGGGGTCGGGGTGACCGGGGCAAGTTTTGCGGGCGGCTGAGCCGGTCTCTGGCCAGCCCCGCTGCCTCGGCCTGCGCTGGTGCCTGTCTCAGGGCCGCGTTCTTTCCTGGCAGGGAGGACGCGAGCACACCAGTTACCCAAGAAGCAGCAGAAGCGTCTCCAGGTGGCGTCGAGGCCGCGTTTCTGACTGCAGACCTGACAGGCCCACCTGCGGGCCTCACCACCCGGTCCACGCAGGCTCCGTCCGGGGCCCAGGCCGCTTCTCCTGACCCCGGTGAGGGAAGAGTCCCAGAGAGACGCACGGGGCTCCCAGGGACTCGTGGACAGGCAGAGAGGCGATGAGCAGCCGTGGCCGGGCCGGCCATTGCTGGTGTCCCGGGGCCGTGTCCCTGGCCGCTCCTCTTGGAGCCAGGCTCGAGGCTCTCCGGGTGCTGCCGGCCCCGAGCAGGGCGGGCTCTGCTGCCCATGCTCACAGGCCCAGCCGCCACACCCAGGGCTCAGGCCAGAAATGTCAGAACAGCTGCCAGGCAGACTGGCGTGGCCACAGCTCCCAGATAAAAGCTGCCCACGGCGGCGCACGTTCAGGAGAGCAGAACTTCCTTGAGCGTGCCATGTTCACCTCCAGGCAGGGCGCGGTGTGCAGCCTGCGCCGCGGTGTGCGCCCTCCACCCAGGGATGCAGGAGAGCAGGGGCGGGCTGCGGGCGTCCTGGAGGAGGACACCGCTCTCTCCACTCCGGCATCTCTGGGGCACCTGGCAAGAGCTGGAACCTTCTTGGGGGGTGGGGGTCCCATGCTACACACACCTGAACTGGGTGCAGGCAGGATCTGCCCTGGCTCCGACACCGTAGGAACTCTCCTCTGCCCCTCGCCCTGGAGGAGTGGCAGGGCTTGGAGCTGAGCTGGGCCTGGCCCTGCTCCTCGGGCACTGACAGGAGCTCAGGGATCAGAGTTCAGCCCCTCCGAGCTGCGTGAGGTGGGCAGGGAAGCCACGGAGGCCCGGTCCTTCCGTACTCCAGCCTTTTATTCAAACAAGGACTCCAGCAGCACACACCACCCACCGGCGCCGAGTGACCAGGGCCCCAGGGAGGAAGGACACAGGCCGGGCCACGGCCCTGACCAGTGGCTGCCGCCCTCCTTGGGGCGATGTGAGCGCCGGTCCGGCGCCCGGGCCGCGTGTCCTCAACCCTAGCCTGGCTGCTGCTGCCCTGATCGCTGGGATCAGCAGGGCTACCAGCCTGGGCCCAACACGACCAGCTTCAGAGGACACTGCCCCCTGGTGACCAGACTGGCCGTGCTGGCATCCACGGCACGGGTGGACCCTGCACTAGCAGACCTTTCTAATCCAGTGATGAAGCGTGAAGCGCAGAGTGGCCCTGGCAGGGCCTCCTGAGACCCGGACTCCCCGTGCCCGCAGGGCTCCCTCCCGCAGGGCAGCAGCCCCTCCCAGGGCCTTCGCAGCTGCCTGGAGGGTAGAGGCCACGGGACAGCAGCGCCCACGCAGCCCCTGCCCCTCCGCTGCTGCCGGGGACAGGACGGGTGAGGCGTCTGTGAATGTGCATTTCTGCAAAAGCCCTTGGCTACCGATACTACCCCACCCCGGCGGTGCAGCGGGGGACCGGGGCCGGGGCCCCTGACCCACACAGCCGGGTCTCCCTGGCCCTGAGCTGAAGTTTCACCAGGCGCCCCAAGCCCTGGCGTGGGCACCCCGTCTGTGTGGGGTAGGGGACCAGGCGGTCAGCTTACTCCCGGAGCTCCTCCTCGTGCAGGGCCGGGAGCCCGCCCGTGGGGGTGGCGCTGTCTGCAGAGGCCTCCCGTCCTCCACACAGGGGCCCGTGGGGGCCCGCGCGGGCCGCTGCCTTGCTGGGCCCGCACCGCGGGGCTCCCCCCGGGCTCTGCTGGTGCAGGAGGGCGCGGGCGGCCGGGCCCTGTGGAGCGCATGGTCTCATGCATAAGCGCGGGGCCAGGGCTGCCCGGCGGCGGCAGCGGTGGGCTCCTGTGGAGGCGCAGAGGGGGCCTGGTGGGCTTCCCACCCTGGGGCTGGCAGGGAGCCTCACGGGAGGCAGGAGGAAGGCACCAGCTCCGGAGGCCCTGACAGCCACCCCCCTCTGAGGGCCTGGGGTGTGGGGGGGAGTCAGAGGAGCCCCGGGGTCCCTGAAATACATGGCTGTAGGGGACACTGGCTCCCGGGAGACCTGAGGACCTCATACAAAATTAAAAGCCAGGGAGGCAGGCAAGGCCAGACCCAGGGCGCCAGGGCCCCATACCCCCTGCCCAGCACACAGCCACCGTCCCCCGTCCTGGGCCTCTGCAGGCCCAGGGCCGTTAAAGATCTCCGTTGCATGTGTGGGCAAAGGCAGTCCTCGGCCATAGTCCTCAGAGCAGAGGGGCGGTTACCGCCCCCACGGCCTGGCCACCGCGAGGACCAGGCTGGGGAGCAGGAGCAGGAGCAGGGGGCGGGGCTGGCAGCGGCAGGCCCCCGAGATCTTCCGCCCCTCCCGCTCCGACAGGCCCGGGAGGGCGTGGGTCAAGGGCGTCCGGGCACTGGAACTCTTCTTGCCAACCCTTCGGCCACAGACGTCATCTGGGCAGCCGCCGCCACTGCCTGAACCGCTGCTGTCATCGCCTGGGGAGGAGAGGAGGCACTAGCAGGCCCGTCTCGAACCCGGGACCCTGATGTCCTTTCTACACAGGGGTCTTGAACCCAGGACCCAGTGGCCAGGCAAGAGGCTGGGGCCCGCCTCCGGCTGCCCCCCGCCCCAGGCTGCTCCTGCTGGGGCCACAGATGGAGAGCGGCAGCAGCAGCAGGGCCCGTGAGCTCACTGGGCTGAGGCTCTGGGCGGCCAGCCCCGTGCCCTTGCTCTGCGGGCCTGACACCTGGCCCACCCTCGGCCCCGCCCGGCGCTCACTGGAGTCCTGGAAGTCCACGTCGTTGCCACTGTAGGCACCGCGCAGCCGGTTGGTCATGATCTTCAGCTGCATGATCTGCTGCCGGATGGTCATGTCCGGCTTGGTGATGTCCACCTCCACCTCGGGGTTGTTGATCTGGTTGGCCAGGCCATCGCCCATCACTTCGGGGAGGTACCTGTGGGTGGGGGACGGAGCACCTGGTCACCGCGCTGGCCCGGGCAGGCCTCCCCCCAAGCCCGAGACCCCCGTGGACAAAGGCAGCCCACACAGGACCCACATTGGGAACCCCCAAACGCGGAGTGTGCTGTCTGGCCTGGGACGTGGCCACGTGGCACCTACCGCCCCTTGGCCATCCCGTTCCAGCAGCGGCCGTCACTGGCCGTGCTCATGGCCATCTTCTCGCTGCACAAGGTCCCCGGGAGGCTGATCCAGAAGTCCTGGATGTTGCGGAGCTGAGCTTTGGCCTCAGACACCTGCCAGACAGCAGTAAGGCCACTGGGCAGCCTAGGACCACTAGGACCGGGCTAGCTGCCTGTCCTGCCCCCTGTCCCTCGCCGGGCTGGCCTTGGCCAGCAGCGTGGCTGAGGAGTCACTCACCAGCTTCTCCAGCGTGCCCGTGGGGGGCTTCTCCGGCAGGGCCAGCTTGCCCCAGCGCTGCTTCTCAGCCGCAGGGCTCTGAGGGTTGACTCTGGGGTTCCCGCAGCCCTGGATGACCTGGGGAGACACCCCGGGGGTCCCTCAGTCCCGGGCGGGCCACGGCTGGATGCCCCACATCGCCACCCCGTCCTGCGCACCTTGGCCGTGAGTGTGTCCTTGTTGTCCTGGAGGGCGTTGATGGCTCCTGCTAGCCACACGTGCACACTGCCGATGACGCTGTCCGCCCCCGACGGGCCCCAGAACTTGTCCGTGATGAGCACCATGGAATCTGGTACAGGCGTTGGCATGTGTGCACACACACACATCGCATGCACACGTTAGAAATCACACACACGGGACAGCAGTAGCTCATACACATCACACGTACATGTTAGTAATGAGCAGCTGACAGTGTACACACACGTGCACATTAGCAATGAGCAGCTGACAGTAGTGTACACACACCTTAGCAATGAGCAGCTGACAGTGTGCACACATGTGCACATTAGCAATGAGCAGCTGACAGTGTGCACACGTGCACATTAGCAATGAGCAGCTGACAGTGTGCACACATGTTAGTAATGAGCAGCTGACAGTAGTGTACACACGCATGCACATTAGTAATGAGCAGCTGACAGTAATGTACACGTGCACATTAGCAATAAGCAGCTGACAGTGTACACACATGTTAGCAATGAGCAGCTGACAGTAGTGCACACACGCATGCACATTAACAATGAGCACGTTTTATTTTTTGGCCAGTCTTGAGGTTGAACTCTGGGCCTGGGCACTGTCCCTGAGCTGCTTTTGTTCAAGGCTAGTGCTCTACCACGTGAGCCACAGCACCACTCCCGGCTTTTTCTGTGTATGTGGTACTGAGGAATGGAACCCAGGGCTTCATTAATGCCAGGCAAGCCCTCTACGCTAAGCTACCTTCCCAGCCCCGTGAGCACTTGTGACAGGAGCTGTGTGCACACAATCACAGGCATGTTAGTAGTCTAGGCCTAGGTCAGCGGGGCTCCTGTGAGCCGCACTCACAGTGCGGGCCGCAGCCCTCAGTTTCACAGTCTTGCTCCCAACACGCCATCACGTGTACACTGGCACGGGTGTACTGTTAACCTACATGTTTACCTCATGCTGTCCATGTGTAACGGTGGCTTTTAACCACTCACACCAGCCACATACCCACTAGCCGACACACGTCAGGATGCGTGTGTAATGGCTGTCTCCTACCAGCAGGTAGATATGCACGCTAGTTCGTGCGTGACGTGTGTTCCACTCACTTTGTCACATGCACGTGCTTGTACCGCGCCAGCACACACAGGTGTCTGCGTGACATGCATGTTCATCAATTCACGCTGTCAGTGCGCACACATGCTTGCACATGCAGGTGTGTGCCATGTGCTGGCATGCCGGAGGTCACATGTTGGCATCATGCGTGTTGGGCACTTGCTCAGAGGGCAGGGCGAAGGGTTCTGACCCCACGGAGCCCCCAGGGCAAGACCTGCCCCCCAACCTCACAACCCCCCCTCGTGATGCAGGTCCGAGCCCCCAGGTCAGGCTGGCACTCACCCAGAAGATTCCTCCACTCGGCGTCTAGGTCGGCCTGGTTGGCAAGGCAGCCCTTCAGCACGTTTCGGCAATAGTCGGGGCAGGGCCGGGCGCCAGGAACGCCCAGGCAGTGGGCGCAGTAGACCAGCTTCATGACGGCCCGGGAACACTCTGGGCCCAGAGGCACCTGGGGGGGGAGGGCAGCCTGAGCCCGCCTGGCAGCCGCGGCGGGCGCTGTCCAGCCCAGTCCTTCCCGGGGCTGCGAGGACTTCCAAGAAGCCCTTGCCAGGAAGCTGCACCGCTGCCCAAGCAGGTGAGGACCTGGGGGGGGGGGTTCTCCCTGGGGCTGGGAGGGATGTGGGCCTCACCACAGCGAGATGGCCGCTGGAGCCTCCCTTTGGACGTGTCCCGTGCACGTCTCTCCTTTCTGCTGCCCATCTATCCTGAGCCCTGCAGCTGGCTCCACACCCAGCCCCAGGTTCCCAGGCCCTCCCCAAGCCGAGCGGCTAGCCAGAAGGATGCTCAGGCCACGGCTGTGCTATGAGCAGACATCCCCACAGAGGCCCAGGGCGGGAGGCTCAGCCTCGGTGGCCGAGGCTGGCAGGGCCCGGCCAGTGCGCACCTGGGCCACCTTCTGGACCACATCGCCGGCCACGCCCAGGCCCTGCACGAAGGCGCGGGCAGCCACGAAGGCGCGGGTGGCCCTGAGGCGCAGGTCCCGTGGGGCGTCCCCGAAGGGCCGCAGGGCCTCGGCCTGCTTGCCCAGGCAGTCCAGGTAGTCATCGGCCAGCAGCAGCCCGGGGTGCAGCTGTCTGAAGAGGCGCTCCAGCAGCCGCGCCCAGAACTCGGCCAGCGTCTCCTCCAGGTGCAGCTTGGCGCCCCGGTAGTAGAGGCGCAGCTCTGCGTACAGGTCCCGGAAGGCAGCGGCATTCTGCGTGTACAGCTCCCCGAAGGCCCCGGGGAAGGCGTCCTGCAGGCTGCGCTCCGACTCGTTCAGTAGCTGCTGGAAGTGGTCTGTGCACAGGGGAGGGGGCTGAGGCCTTGGCCGCCATGTGGCCCGCCCGCCCGCCCCACCGCCGCTGATCGGCGGGCCCACCCCAGGTCCTCTGTGGACACCCCGCCCCTGCCCTCACGGACACGTCAGGGCCCCCGTGGCCTTGGGGCTTTGGTGGCCGTGTCACAGAGGCTCTGGGACTCCGAGGAGGAGAGGGCCGGGGTAGCTCGGCCTGGCGCTCCTGCCGGGGCAACCGGCATGTCTGGCTCAGACTCACCGTCCACGCCGCGGAGCTGGGCAGCCAGGGTGGCCTGCAGGGCCAGGCTGGTGTCGTGCAGTGCGCTCTCCAGCTCGGCTCGGCTGCGGTTGGCCAGGTTCTCCTCCATTTCGCTGGTGCAGCAGGTGTAGCCCTGGGGGCAGATGCGCAGGTGCTCGCCTGTCGGGAAGGGCACCGTGAGCAGCCGAGAAGCAGCCTCCACCCCAGCCGGGCCGGGCCGGGCTCTGGGGGACGCTGGAGGCCCTGGGCGGGCGAAGCCGCCCGCTCCTTTGGCGCTGGCCCCGGGCCCCGGGGGTGGGGGTCCGAGGGTGTTTCGGTGTCAGCACAGGATGATCTCCAACATGGGGTGTGGTGCAACGCCTCCCAATGTCTCAGCCCAGAGCTCGTCTGGGAGCTGAGGTGGGGACGGCCAGACCCAGGCTCAGCGTGGAAGCTTCTAGGCCTGGCAGGTGCCTGTGGCTCAGGCACATGAACGGGGATGGCGGAGGAGTCAGACTTCCTCTCTCCACACCAGTCCCAAAGGGCGCCAGGCCCGGCCACCACTGAGGCACCCAGCCCGCACCCGGCCCCGCCCAGCCTCAGCGGCGCTCCCGCAGCTCCTCCGTCCGTCCTAGGCCGCCCCGCGGAGGGCCCGCTCCAGCAGGAAGCGCCCGCCCCGACAGCCTCACTCCCCACATGGGGCCAGGGCCGCCCGCAGGCACCCCGTGACAGCCCACGCGGGGGGGATGCAGGGACAGCTTCCTCGGGGGAGATGGGGTGTCCCCTCTGAGCTCAAGGGAGAGAGGTCCCAGCCAGGGGGTCAAGCTACAAGAGCCCCTCAGCCCATCTGCCCCGTCACGCGCCTGCGGGAGGGCCCGGCCTGCCCAGCACCGAGGGGAGGTGGAGGCAGGGGCCTGGCTGGACAAAGGGGCTGGGGTCAGTGGAGACCCCGGAGATGTCCCCGTGAGACAGGGTGATTTTGACACCAGAGTACAGTGAAGTTGAGCCAGTGTGAGGCAGGGCTGGAGGGGGGGGCACGGGCGCCTGTCCGCCCCCGTCCCCTCCTCTGGCTGGGGAGGAGGAGGGCGGGAGGGGGGCTGGGCCCAGTGTGTGGCCGCAGTGGCCACTGCTCCGAGGCAGAGCTGGCCGTCCAGGGATGGTCAGCTCCCACGGGAAGGCGGGGAGGGCAGGCCCGGCCGCGGCCCCAAGGCTGAGTGAGCCAGCGCGGCACACGCCACCGGCAGCACGCCAGCCCCCCAGACAGAGCGGTGTGTGTGTGTGGAGCATGTCAGCCCCCCAGAAAGAGCGGTGTGTGTGTGGGGGCATCAGCACCCCAGAAAGAGCGGTGTGGGGGGCACATCAGCACCCCAGAAAGAGCGGTGTGTGTGTGGGGGCATCAGCACCCCAGAAAGAGCGGTGTGGGGGGCATGTCAGCACTCCAGAAAGAGCGGTGTGTGTGGGGGGGGCATCAGCACCCCAGAAAGAGCGGTGTGTGTGTGGGGGCATCAGCACCCCAGAAAGAGCGGTGTGGAGCGTCAGTACCCCAGAAAGAGCGGTGTGGGGGGGCTCAAGGAGGGTCCAAGTTCCTGCCCTGCCCTCCCAATGGACTCGGCTGCAGGGCAGGGGTGGGGCATGTGTTGGGTTGGAGGCAGGTGGCGGGCAGAGACCTCATGGGCAGGATGGGGGGAGCCGGGGGAGGGAGAGGAGGGAGGGCACGGGCACAGCCGGGGGAGGGAGAGGAGGGAGGGCACGGG